CAAAAGCCTTGGCAAATGGGATACCAAGTCTTCATTTTTCACCTCCACTGAAAGAAGACGACATAATGAAAAACATCATGGAAGATTAGGAAATGTGATCAAATTAGTATCAAAGGACGATAACCCTGACAAAGTTTCTAAACAGAATCCTGTATCTTAGTAGGAGCTCCTATTCTATGAACCAGTGAGATCCTTTCAGGCAGTTTTTGGTCTAGATTAAATCTGAGGCTGAATGCACCCACAGCACAGATGCTAAACCTCCTCATTGGTGTCTCACAGCCAAGTGTGCTGGATCTGAGCATCTCAGACATGACCAGCACAGGTAGCTGTACCTATGTTTCACATAGCTCATCTCTATTATTCCCCACTGGAATGTGAAGTCTTTTTCAGTTCTGAACAACATATAAAGTTAAAAAAAACACTTACAGTTCTCTATGATTTCAAATACAGGTTCTCCTCCCCTTTCTTCTTCCTTATTCTCCTCTAAAATGCAGAAATGCACAAGTATTAACATAATCAAATAAGGGAGCTGGGCTAATAGGACTGATCTGGTCTACAAGAGAAGTGTATAATTAGAGTGCCAAAGAACAGTACTATCAGCGGGCTTGGAGCACCAAAGGGACATTCAGTATGACAACATAAAGGCTCTGAAATTCTGCTGGTGACAAAACCGCGTGTGCACGTGGAGTAGGCAGAAGAACCAGCCTCCCACATAATGTGCTTAACTGTCCTACCTTTTCCTCGCCCCCGGGACTGGCTCTGCCAGTCATCCCATTGCTAGGGATGAAGATAACAAGCCATTGTCAAGGGCAACCACAAAGCTGCTTGTTTCACATTAGCATCCTTAACATTTTCAATCTAATCAGATTTCCTGTTGGTTGAGGAAAGCTGCCTTTCCTCGTTACCAGCTGCTATCCCAGATTTCCCTCTCCCCATCCTCCGTACTTTGCCATGCTTGTCTGCTTCTCAGTGTAAAAAGGTTATGTCTGCCTGGAGGGAGACTAAATCTTACAAAAAAAAGAAAAAAAAAAACAGGGCAAAAAACCCCCACATGAAAACAGAACTGTGGGCAAGAGGCCAAGGCTCTTGATTATGTGACTGTGACTAACCAATGGGTGTTTTTTAAAAACATTTCTCTCGTTATATACCCTTCTCTGGATGTAATAATATAACTCAAATTAGTTTTCCAGAAGCAGACTCCTTTTTATGTAACCATGTTTTATACAGATAGCAGCAGCTTATGTTTAAACTATTTAAGAGAACAAATAGCTGCAAAATGTACTTCAGATGGCCCTTCTCCTGCTGGCAGCGTCGTCCTGGCTGGAGGGAAGCTACAAAAACACCCTGCATTTTGCTGCTGCTTGGATGTAACTAAACAATGCACAATGCCCACAGGACCTAGCATCCAGGTAAGGATGTCAGGTCTGCTTGTTTTATTGTGTTTGAGAGATCCACGACATTGTAAACTGCAGAATGACTTTGACCAAACAAAGCTGGAGTGATGGAGAATAAAGCAGTAGCTCATCTTTTAACTTAGCCCGAAGTTTCCCACAGCATTAGGGAAGGCAGCATCCCATCTGAACTGCGATCCAGACTGACAGATATCACCCCTGCTGGCACTGGGCCCAAACAGAAATTTTCACATTTTGGGTACAGGGTATTGTTGTGATTTCCTATTGTTTTCTTCCTTCCTTCCACATCTACCACTTCAAACAAGACTGTCCTCGCTATAGTTACTGGACCAAGGACCTCTATGTGTCCTCCAGGTTGATATCAAATGTACTGGCCCTGGACCTATTCTGCTCAGGTGTATTTGAGGCATACGGGTGCTGTGAAAAATGACGACACTGCAAGCAGGCAGGTAGGGTGTCAGAAAAAGAACAAGAAACCAAGACAGGTTAATTTAGGAAACACAGACCTAATTTCCCCATTCCTTCTCTCGCTTTTAGAAATGGGCCTGAGGTACGAGAAACGACGGACCACCTGGGTCAGATACCAGAGTGAGGTGGTATGTAAGTCTTCCAGCAAACAGCAGAACATTCGGAAAATCTTTTACCTGGTATCATTATACGTGCCCAGGGGGTTCAAATTCTGAAGTGTTAAATGAGATGCCCCAAGCATTAACCGTGTGTGAAAGTGGTTAAAAAGCACAGAGAAGAAATCTGTCACCTAAATGAAATATTTAGACAAAGAGTTGCAAAGTTAGAAACATGCCGGATTTACTATGTGTTCCCATGCCATTACTCAGTAGAGAAAAAGGTACATTTCTGTACTCTCTGCAGAGTCTTTCAACTCTGCAATTTTCCATAAAACTTCCATGATGACATTTTACTCAGAGCTTTCCCAATAGCTTCTTAGTTGCCATACTTTCCAGTACCTTTAAAAATGTGTAAATTATGCTACAGTAAAGGTTTAAGCATTTATTTTCATTCATCCTCATAGCACAGTTGAGCTCTTAACTGCTGGGTTCACTCTAGAAGGTATTCCGGTAGGGTTTGTTTCAGTCACTCCATTAACTTCAACAGACTGTTTTAGTGTTTGCACTGAAAGCACAGTTCAGATCATCTCACATTCAAAATATTGCAAGCTTCATGCCAACAAACCACCGAGGATGACACACATCAGTCTTTCAGTGGGTCTAACACTGCTGCTAGGCAATTCACAGGTTTTGAAGAAAAAGACCAATGCAGCCCAGGAAATTTAAGGTGCAAAGGAGGGTACAAGGACTCGTAAACATACATTTTCTCTCTCATGTTAGAGGCAACTTCTTTCACAGAAACACATATAGAAACCATGCAACAATAGAAATTGATACCCCTATGAATTCCCATCAGCTGAGATGGCTGTGGGATAAGTCAACACGGCCATAGCTTCTTGTGACCTGTCTAGTAGTGCAAAATTCCTGGAAGAGAGGAGGAAGGATAAAAAGGGGAAGGGAAAGCAACATTCATATACCACAGTAAAAAATGAAAAGCTTTCCTCTTATAACTAAACATATTCAGTAAAATGATTAACAATACCATATGCCATGAAGGAAGGAGTAACACAGCTGTTGTTGGAGAGAGACAGTGTGCAGATTTATGGGCCTAGCAAGAGCAACTGTTGGCTTCCAGGCAACAACACGGCAGAACTGATGCTCCCCAGGTCTTCACTCAGAGCCTGCACCTTGCAGGCTTCTCCCGTTGGGTCCCAAATTCCTCAACATTGAACCAAACCATGCCCCCAGGAGACTCACGCTCTGGAGATAAAAGGCCCAGCACAACTCCGTTTCCCGTGTTCCTCTTGAAAACGCCATTAATGTGCAAATTGTCAATTTATCCACTGAAAATGATCAGACTTAACTAAAAGCTAGTCCCCAG